GCTTTGCACATGCTCTTCATTCTGCCTGGAACCCACTTCGTCCCCTCACACATGGGGACAGCTTCAGTGTCACCTCCTGCCCTAGCCAGTTTGGCTCAGTGGACAGAGCATTAGCCTGTGGACTGAAGGGTCTGGGGTTTGATGCCCATCAAGGGCATATGCTCGGGATGTGGGCTCAATCCCCAGTGGGGGTTGCAGGAAGCAGCCCATCAATGATTCTCTCATCATTGATGTTTCTCTCTCTCTTCCTTCCTCTTTGAAATCAATAAAAAATAAAAAAATTTTAAAAAAATTAAAAAAATATATATATATACACACACACACACACACACACACACACACACAGTATATAAAAACACCGCCTCAGAGAAGTGCCTGCCCAGGCGAGAATGACTTTCTCTCAGCGTATCCGTGACAATGCACCTGCTCCCGTGTGTGCTCTTCCTGGCTGGACTCAGCTTTGTGAGGGGGCGGCCTGTACACTGGCAGGCACAAAGGCATGCAATACCTCTTTCCTGAGCAAATCAACAGCCTACAGAGCACAGACAGTCCTCAAGTTACGTCAGACTCGATGTACGTCATTTCGTGGTTACGTCGCCATCTCCCATTTACAAAAAAAAGGTTCCGTCATTTTGACATATGTATTGTACTAATGTGCTTTATGTTTTTTATTATTCACTGTATTTATCACAAGTAAAGGTCAGGAGTGGTCATTTCTCTTTTACATTTTGTACTGTTTCACTTCATCACTGCTGTGTGTGTGCTCCATGTGAGTGACGTAGGTGCTTATGTTGGTGGGTTCCGGCTTACAGCGAAAATCACGTTATGTCATGTGGACCTACTGTAATAATAAAAGCCAGTGTTTACTGAGCACATTCTATATGCCAGGGACCGTGCTGAGCTCCATGCAGACATGAGGTCATGACAGTCGCATGATGGCTGCACCATTATTACTCCCATCTTTTTAAAAGTTGATTTGAGAGAGAGATGTGGGGCGGGGAAGAGAAGAAAAAGCGAAACAGCACTCCTTTGCTCCACCCACCACCCATGCACTCATTGGTTGATTCCTCATGTGCCTGAGGGGGATGACCCACAACCCCTGCTTATTGGGACAACTCTTGAGCCAACTGAGCACCTAGCCAGGAGGCCTCCCAATTTTTAATGAATGGGAATTAGAAGCTGGTAAGCAACCCGCCCTAGGCCACAGGGATAATAAGGGAGCGAGGATTTGAACTGCACCTCCAATTCTCTCAACATGCTCTCGCCAATGCCCAGGGGGTGTTCCTTTCTCCTGCACTGCCCGTGACTATTTTTGTTCCCCTCCCCAATTCTTGGCCTCCCCTCCAAAGTCACCCAATTCAGAAGAGTTCCCCAACTCCTCCCCTCTCATCCCATACCCATCAGCTCCCACACCCCACCCAAAGGGGACCCCTCAACTGTGCTTCAGCACTGACCTAGTGCAGAGACCCCCAGCCTTCCGGCCCCGAGGCCCAGCGGCTAGCGCAGTGCGAGAATGCAAGCAGCCAGACCCCAGCACAGCAGGCAGGTGGAGCAGGCACCTCCTCAGCGAACCCACATGAGTGCCAGGCCCCACGCCCTGCCTGTATTTATAGTGCCGGGAGCGTGGGACGTGGACGGACACCCAACGCAGCTCTCAAACGGGAAAGGGAGCGGCCCACGCCATTCCAGACCCGCCGTCTGAGAAGTCGGTGAGAACCCGTGGGGCCCAGAAAGGACGTGCTTCTAGGGCAGCAGAGAAGGGAAAAGGCAGCAAAAACCGAAAAGAATGCCAGTGAGCCGAGCGAAAGCAGAGAAGGGAGGCCGTGTCTCCCTGTGTTCTCTGTGGGAATACGGGGAGGAGGAGGGCGGTGACCATGCTGGCCTGGAATACACGGCTGAGGACGTCACCTCCTTTACGAAGCTTTTAGGGCACCCGATGGCCACACCACGGTCAAGTTCAAACCCCTCAGCAGGGCCTTCAGAGGCCTGCATGCCCAAGCCCCACAGCCGGGTCTGGGAGGTGAGGGGTTTCAGGCCTCCACGTGTCCGTTCCGCTGCCTAGCAAGCCCCTTTCTGCAGGAGCCTCGAGGCGCAGGGCATTCCGTTTCTAGGAAGACTTCGGGGACCCCCCAGGGTTGGTGGGGGAAGAGCACGGGCTCTGAGACCAAACCCTCTAGCTCAAAGCTCGGCTCCACCACCCAGCCCGGCTTTCCCCTCCCAGGCCGCCTCCTCTGCAGAGTGTGAAGGTAACTGCTCCAGCGCACTGGGTGGCGGGGAGCTGAAATGCCCTATTTTCAGAGAGCGCTTTGAACTGCGCCTGGCACACAGTCAGTGTTTAATAAACAAGCTGTTGTTCCCATTGTCCTCCGGGCCCTTTGGGGCCGTTCCTCCCACAAGGAGGGCACTGTCTCGCACATATTGGTTGCACTCGGGATCCCCTAGCCAACCACAGCCTTTCAGAAGGCACCATGCACGACTCGGGCCTCTCCTCCCGGCCTAGCACAATGCCGGGCACACAGTAGGTCTTCAGGGAGTGCTTGCTCCCCGTCTGTGAAGGCCCTCCTGTACACCCCACACCGAGCTCTCCCAGGGCCCAGCTGCTGGCCTCCCACAACGCACACACCAGATCCCGCCGAAAGGCCCCGCAGAGCCAGAAGGATCTTCGCTGTTACTGGGTTTCAAAACAATGAAGAGCTGCATGCACTCTGCCTTCCCAAGGCCGTTTCCACTCCAGGGAGTTGACGGGAGAAACGAGCACAGCAGGGACCTGAAATAGAACTGAGGCCTTCTGGGGAGAGCGCGGCTGGCCCGCCAGAAACCAGGAGCAACAGCTCAAAGGCCACGGGGAGAAAGCGGCCTCCAGACAAAAGCCCGAGCTGCAGAGAACGCGGCCAGCAGGAGGAAACTAGGACAAGGGGTCACCGGTGCCCGCTCTGCCCTACGCCTCGCCGCCTGGAGAGCTCCAGAAGGGGTCCTTGCACAGCCCAGCCGCAGGCCAGAACAGCTTACCACACACCCAGGACCCCCAGGGCTGCAAGCAGGAGCCCCAGGGTGCTCACACTGCCTTCTCCATCCACGCTGCCTATCAGGGCCCTTCGCCCGATTGGGGTCACTATTTATGTCCATCTCCCCAACAGACGTGGAGCTGCGAATGGCTGGGCTCCGGGTTTCACTGATCCTCAGACGCCGTGCCCCCAGCATGGTGCTAGGTACACAGCAGATGCTCAGTAGTTACAAGGCAGCAGGAGAAAGGTCCTGGTTCAAGGATGACTCCACCCAGGCCTGCCACGTACCACGGACAAGCAAGCCACACGTGGCCCACGACTCCCTCTGCATCTCCGTGTCCTCACTCACCAGAGAGCTATAACAAGTTCTGTACTCACACAGTGCTGAGAACGAACTGGAGGAATACATGTAGAAAGCATGAAAATACATGCTAGTCACCCTTCAGGCTCCAGCCCTTATGTCAGTCATGTCCTTTCTGCTGGCCACATTGCCCCTCTCCGGCACAAAAATCACTCTGTACACCCTTTACAGTCTTATATGAGTCACATCTTTGCAATGACTTGTTTCTTTTTTTTTTAAGATATATTTTATTGATTTTTCAGAGAGAAAGGGAGAAGAATAGAGAGTTAGAAACATCGATGAGAGAGAAACATCGACCAGCTGCCTCCTGCACACCCCCCACTGGGGATGTGCCCACAACCAACGCACATGCCCTTGACCGGGATGGAACCTGGGACCTTTCAGACCGCAGGCTGACGCTCTATCCACTGAGTCAAACCGGTTTCGGCAAGATGACTTGTTTCTGAGTTGGAGTCCCTCGCTGACCTGAGAGGGCCTGTACCCAGGGAACAATATGTGTTTGTGTCCAAGGCCTGACAAAACGGGCACTCGGGCCTGGCTGCTTGGGCCCTCCCGCCGCACGGCCCCAATTCGGATGCAACACAGCACCTTGGACAGGATGTCCTGCCATACAAGCCCCGGGCCCACTGAGCAGGCAGACAGGGGAGAAGGAAGGGGCACCGCAGGCAGGTCTCGCCTCTGAGCTGTGCCTCCTCTGCAGGTGCAGGTGAGCGTGCTTGCCTGGCTGGCTCGGCAGCGCAGGGGCCTCCAGGGCACAGATTGCTGCTGCTTGCCTTACATAAAGCACCAGGCGATCGGATGAATAATGCATGGCCTTCAGCTCACACACAGGTACTAGGCGTGCAAGCACTCGCTTTGCGACAGGGTGCCCTGGGTGTGTGTTTGTGTGTCTGGCTCTGCACAATCCCAGGGGAGATACGACTTGGGCACAGTCATGTTCACCCACAACCTCCACGCCTTGCCGCGGTCTGGAATCAGTGCACCGGGGAGGAAATGTACAACCCACAGGACGGATACCCACACCCCAGCCCAGTCCCCATGGCCTCTGTCAAGGCGAATGAATATCCTTGGAGTCCCAGGTTTCCGTGGGTGCCCCGCGGAACAGCTGACCTCTACGGGAGGCCAGTCCACCCTCCATGCAAGCATCCCCATGGGCCTTGGCAGGCCAACCCCCTTCCCTGGTCACAGCCCGAACAAGCACGGATGCCTCGCCCACTCCCTAGGCGGTGCCAGGCGCCAGCACACCCACCGGGCACACAACCCCACTTGCAGGGAGGCTGCCCATCCGCCCGCCGGCTCCCCCGGCTCCCCGGCCGCCCCCACGGCAGGTCCGATTACACGCCTGGCGCCGGCGCCGCCACGCTGGCGAGGAGGGGGCCGGGCACACCCACGGGCGGCCCCCGACCCCGCGGGGAGGGCAGGGGACGCGGGGCAGGGCGTGCGGGGCGGCGGCGGGCGCTCCCCGCCTTCTCAGCCGGGCCGGCCGCCTCCGGTCCCAGGACCCGCGGTCACAACCAGCGTGACCCGCGGGGCGCCCCCTGCCCGGGCCTCCCCCACACCCAGCGGCCCCCGCCCCCTGAGCCCACAGCCGACCCCCCTCAGGGCCTCCGGCCCGAGGCCTGCCAGGCGGGTACCTCAGGAGCCCATGGCGGCGGCGGCGTGTGCTGGCGGGCGACGCGCAGCGCGGGCGGGCGGGCGGGCGGCACCGCAGCCCCGGAGTCTGGTCGCCGCGGCCCGAGCGTCCCGGGCGCCGCCGAGTGCCGCCGCGGTGCGCATGCGCGCTGAGCGCGCCCCCGGGGAGGGCGGGGCGGCGCGCGCGGGGCTGAGATCACCGCGCGGCCTTAAAGGGGCCGCGCCTCGAACCGCCCCTCGCCGCCCCGCCCAGCGATGGGGTCAGCCAAGGTTCTCCTGCGGCTCGCTAGCAAAACAAACAGCCTCCCCCGCCTCCATCCCACCCCCCAACCCTGCCCACCGCAGCGTGTCTGGGGGTGTAGGACCCACAGGTTTGGGGCGCCAGGCTCCGCTCCAGACATCTGTGTCTGGTGTTTCGCTTCTCTTTACCCTCATTAGCTCCACGTAGGCCTGTTTGGAAGATAAAACAAGATGCTGGCATGGCTATCCGTGGAGGGAAGGGTGCATGTACAACTGAAACGAATGCAAACCGAAGCGCTGAGCGCAGTCGCGCCCCAGTGGAACTGCAAAGCCAAGAGAGAGGCTCTTCCTTCCCGCACCGCCCTGCGGCCCCACCTCGCTCTCAGCGGCCCAACCTGCAAAGTTTTGCAGACGTCATCAAGCCGCCTAGCCCACTGCTGTTTCTGGCGTCGCTGTTGCTCAAGATCCCCAAATTTATTTATAGCCCCAGCCCGGACTTCTCCCCTGAGCTGTTAGCGCAACACCTAACAGGCATCAACAGGCACCTCAGAGTCAGCATGCCCACAGCAGAACCCATCTCTCTGTGGACAAAAGGAGCCACATGCCAACCTGACAAGCTCAGAGACCTAAAGTAACCACAAAGGATGGTTAGAAAATTAAATATTTAACTACAAATAGATTATAGTGGGTAGTCATGTCCTAGGCCGATATTTTCCCTGACAAAGATCAACTTAGATCTTACTGACCCATTTGCCTTTTTTTGCCTTTAAGATAACATATCTGTGAGATGTCTGGGTAACTTGTAACTTCCCTTTTTCTGGAGCCCCTGGGGCACATCCAAATGCGGTGAGAGCCAGGACAGATGCCTCAAATTCCTTCATTATCATTAAGGTGACGAGACCTCCCGCTTTGGGCCAGACAGTCCCAATTTTTACACTTTGTCCGGCTTCTGCTTCCCAAGGCGTTTTAAAAAAGTCCCGATTGAAAGACAAATGGAGACGTCTGGTCACCTTAATTATCGTGTTAATTGTTCCTGTACCCACTTAAGTATGTGTCCATCATTTTACTTTTTATCCAATCCCAGGGGTTTCCCACCGCTTTGCTTTCTCCTGCCTCCTTAATTCATCACCAATGAATTTCATGTAACCCACCTATGTCCCTCCTTTTATATATATGTATATATTTTATTGATTTGTTACAGAGAGGAAGGGAGAAGGATAGAGAGCTACAAACATTGATGAGAGAGAAACATCGATCAGCTGCCTCCTGCACATTCCCTATTGGGGATGTGCCTGCAACCAAGGTACATGCCCTTGACCGGAATCGAACCTGAGACCTTTGAGTCTGCAGACCGACACTCTATCCACTGAGCCAGGGGTCCTCAAACTTTTTAAAGTGGGGGCCAGATCACGGTCCCTCAGAGAGCTGGAGGGCTGGACTATATGAACTACTAATTCCTACTGTAACACCTCGGCTGCGCTCACTGCCCAAAAAACCTGGCGGGCCGGATCAGACTCCTCTGCGGGCAGCATGTGGCCCGCGGGCCGTAGTTTGAAGACGCCTGCCTGAGCCAAACTGTTTAGGGCTATGTCCCTCCTCTGATGGCAATGTATAAATACAAATGTAACTCACCATTGTTTGGAGCATTATCTCAATTCATTGAGGTTCTGCTTCCCGGCATATGTTAATAGTTTGGCTCAAATAAGCTCACAAAATTCTTTACAGGTTTCAATGTTTGTTTGTTTTTTCATTAACACCTCCCAAAGGCCTGCTCCCTCACAGATTCCCTACAACTGGCATCGAATTCCCATCCTTCCAGGGCCCGGGCCAAAACTCCTGGAGTCTTTAAATCCCTCCCCGCACTATTGGCTCTACGTGCAAAACATATTTAGCCTCTGACCCCTTCCACCCCATCTCCACTGCTACCAACCCGAAGGAAGGCTGGGAAGGTTGGAAACAGATAGTCTTGTTCACCCACAACCTCAGTGCCATTCACTTTCTGCCCAGGATTATTGCAATACTCTTGCTAGAGACTAAAAGTTTGTGTCCCCCCAAAAATGTGAGTGCTGAAATCCTAACCCACAATGCGATGGTATCAGGAGGTGGGGCCTTTGGAAGGATGGTGACTACAGGAATGGGATTAGAGTCTTCACAAAAGTGACCTCTAGCCTTCTTTCTGCCATGTAAAGTGTCCAGACATGTAGAGAATTTTTTAAAATATATTTTTATTGATTTCAGAGAGGAAGGGACAGAGAGAGAGAAACATCAATGATAAGAGAGAATCATTGATCGGCTGCCTCCTGCACACCTCCCACTGGGAATGTGCCCGTAACCAAGGTACATGCTCTTGACCGGAATTGAACTCGGGACCCCTCAGTTCGCAGGCCAATGCTCCATCCACTGAGCCAAACTGATTAGGGCCCAGCTTGTTCCTCTTTCTCCAGCCTTGTCTCCTGTCTGGTCTACGCCAATATAGGAGCCAGAGGGATTCTTTTACCTAAGTCAGAACATGGCACTTCTTTGCTCAAAACCTTCTCTTGGTTCCCATTTCACTCTGAGTAAAAGTCCAAATCCTCACTCGTCTCTACAAAGTCTAGCTTGATCTGACATTCTACCGACCCAAGTATGTCTGACCTCATTTATCCCCTTCTTTCCCTTCACACTGACCCCTTGCTGTTCCTCAGACAAACCAGGCACCCTCAGTCTCCAGTCCTTTGCACTGACTGTTCCCTCTGCTGGGATTGCTGTTCCCTCAGATATCCAAATGGTGCCTCCCTCAAACGTTCACCCCTCCTCAGGCCTGCCCTGACCACCACAGTGAATTGCCAAGCCTCTCAGCTGCTCTACCCCAACCACGACATATCACTTAGTTTCTATCATAACATGTAGTTTGCCTCTTTTTTCATTTGTCTTCAGCTGGTCAAACATAAACTCTATGAGGACTAAGATTATGTTTCCCGATATAATCCCAGTACAAGAGCTGACAGAGAGAACATGCTCAACGAGTCTGTGTGGCATGCATGCCCAAGGGTCCTCTAGAAAGAGTCCAATAGAGAAAATCCCGCCCAGCCTGCGTGGCTCAGGGGTTGAGCGCCCACCTATGAACCAGGAGGTCACGGTTCGATTCCCAGTCAGGGCACGGGCCTGGTAGCCGGCCTGATCCCCAGTGTGGGGCCTGCAGGAGGCAGCTGATCAATGCTTCTCTCACATCATTGATGTTTCTACCTCTCTCTCCCTCTCTGAAATCAATTAGAAAGAGGGAGGGAGAGAGGAGGGAGGGAGGGAGGGGGGGAGGGAGGGAGGATGCTTCCCAGACCTAGCAGACCCAGGCGAGAAGTTGCTCAGGGCTACCCCAACTCCAAGAAGGCTTATCTTACAGTCATTTGCTTGATAATCACTAGTTTATGACTTCCAGCTCTCCTGTCACATGTAAACACCTCCAGGGCAGAGTCCTTGTCTCAGGTATGTGGCAGCCTCTTGTCTGCTTAGCAGCGAAAGCTCACCCACCAGCTGATTCTGACAGCACTGCCCCCTCCTGAGCGGTCAGGCCAAACAGCACCCACATTCAGGCTCTGAGCCCTGCTCATGAGAGCACTCTTGGGTCTCAGCTTACAGAGGCCCGGGGCAGAGGCAGATGGTGAGTATTTTTAGGCTTGTAGTGCCCGGATGGGCTCAGAGACAGAAAGTCACCTGGCCCCGTGACAGGGCAGGTCAGCAGGTGGCCCTGGGACTGCTGGTTGGCTGCTCCCAGCCGTTCCGTGTCCTCTCCTCCAGGCTTTCCCAAGTGAAATGAACACCCGCCCCTCTCCCCACGCCCTCCCCCGTGCAGCTGCACATCCATCGGGGCTCCACGTCGCTGCTCACTTTGGTCCCTCCCCCTCCCAGCCTGGACAGGCCCTGGTTCAGGCCCCCTTCCTTCGGGGCAATTAGAACAACCCCCCAGCCCACCACTCACCTGGGTGCCGGCCCACTGGCTGCTGATGCCTCTTTCACCTCCGGCAAGCAGCTGTTCTTCCTTCAAAGACAAACCAGGTATGGTTTGGTCCCTTCTGGATCCCACTCAGTCTTGTTAATCCTCACCCGAGGATATTTTCCCATTGATCTTTAGAAAGCGTGGAAGGAGGGGGAGAGACAGAAACACCGATGTGAGAGAGACACTTCGATGGGTTGCCCTGCATAGACCCTGGCCAGGCTGTCTCCTGCTCTGTTTCAGTTAGTTTCTCCCAAATATAAATAAATAAATAGATAAATAAATATTGTAAAAAAGGGGGAAGGGGATAATCTGAAACTCATCAAAGAATAGTTAAGTAAATGATGGCAGATCCACACAATGGCATACTGTGTAGATGTTAAAATAGCCTCTTTACACATTTCAAATAACATGGGGAAGTGATTAAGAATAACAGTGAGTAAAAAAAAAGCAGTAATAAATTTGCAATGACAGCCTGTTCTGAAGTGTTTCAAAAAAAAAAAAAGCTTAGAAGAAAAATTGGAAAGAAATGTAACAAAATGTTAACAGTGGGTTCTTGTGACAGGATTATGAATATTGATTATCTTATCTCTGCCCCCTTGATTTCGTTCTATTTTATATAAATATATTTTTAATTGATTTCAGAGTGAAGGGAGAGGGAGAGAGATAGAAACATCAATGATGAGAGAGAAGCATCGATCAGCTGCCTCCTGCACGCACCCCCACTGGGGATCAAGCCTGCAAACTGAGCATGTGCCCTTGACTAGAATCGAACCTGAGACCCTTCAGTCCACAGGCTGATGCTCTACCCACTGAGCAAACCATCCAGGGCAGTCCCCTCTGTTTCTTTGTATTTTCCAAAATCTGTTTGCAAAAGTATTCAATGTTTTCAAAATAAGATTAAAAAATTTCCTTTACAAAATAG